GATTCCTCCTCTCTCTCTATCTCTCTCTCTCTCTCTCTCTCTCTATATATATATATATATATATATATATACACAGAGAGAGAGAGAGAGAGATTTGTTACAGCAAAAAGTTAAATGAAATTACAATGCAAAAGAAATGCATAAGAAAGTATAAGGGGTACATCTCTAAAATTACTGGATATTTTTCATATATTCTAACTATCAGAAGAGCTAGACAAAATGAGAAAGAAAAAAAAAAGTAAATATTTAATTCTGAAATTTTTTATACATTTACAAAATGAAAACTGTTGCAAAGACAGCTATAAATAGGCTATCCTGAACCTTTCCTGAATCTGAGATAGTTATAGCCAAGGTTGTCAATCTCGAGAATTTACGTAATCTCGTGAAGGCTCCGTAAACTCGTATCGTAAACTCGTATCGTAAACTCGTCTCGTAAACTCGTCTCGTAAACTCGTCTCGTAAACTCGTAAGAAATTACTCAATAAACAAAATTATAAAAATAATTAAAAATTATATAATAATTAAACATTTTAACTTTATATTAAAGAGTCGTAAACTCGTAAGAGATTACTCAATAAACAAAATTATAAAAATAATTAAAAATTATATAATAATTAAACATTTTAACTTTATATTAAAGAGTAAAATAACAAATTATATTAATAATAAAATAATTTATTAAATATAGCAGGATTACACTATTCTAATTTATTTATATATATATATATATAAATATTAGATAATTTATAATACAAATAATTAATAATATACATATAAAAATAAAAATATAACTATTTATACATTAAATATTTTTAATAATAAAAATTTATAGTAGTTAAACAAAATAAAAAAATTAAGAAAACAAAATATTTAAGGTCTTATATTAAATTTTGTATTACTTAAAATATTATCTAAATTATAATAATAATAATTAATAATTAATAAAGAGAGGTTACTTTCTAAAAAAAATAATGAAGTAAAAACCCTCTTAACCAAATCAAAACAAAAAATAAAACTTGGCCCATTTGGCCCATATTCCAACCCTAATTATTTTTCCTGCAATGCAATCCTTCCTCAAGTCGTCGCCGCTGCCTTCCCTCTTAGAAGAAGACAGATCTGCAGATGTCGGGGAAGACAGAGCCACTGTCAGAGAGGATAGATCGGCGGAGATTCGCCGGAGAGGAGAGGAGACTCGCAGAGGTGTCGCGCGGAGAGGAGAGGAGACGCGCGGAGGAGGTGAGGCGCGAAGGAGGAGAGCCGTGGAAGAGGCGCTGCGGAGGTCTGGAGTGGAGAGGAGAGTAAGAGACGAAAGTGCCCTAACACACAACACAAAACGTGCGTTTTGTGTAAGTGGAAAAAAAAAACGGTGATCTCTTAATATCGGAGGTAATCTCGCGAGTTTACACGAGTTTACCCGAGTTCACCAAGATTGCTCCGAGTTCACTAAAAAACGAGTTTACCTCCGAGTTGTACAGGTAAGCTCTTGTAAACTCGTAAACTCGTACGAGTTTACGAGTTGTCACTAGATATTGACAACCATGGTTACAGCCATACAGTAACAGGATTACACCAGTATACATGAAACTAGGCTAAGAATGAGCACTGTAGCGGAGAGCAGTTAGAAGCTATTATATGCCCCCCTAAACTCGAGGTGTTCCACTTCTCAATCCTAGGTAGGATCTCAAGTTAAACAAAATTTGTGTACTTGGCGGCAGAGGCAAGGTTTATGATTAAGGGAGGACAAAGAAAAAAAAAATCCTCACTTTTTCTTTCTCTCAGTGGTGCCAAAAAATATTTTTATATCAGAAATTCAAATAGGTTAAAAATTTTGGGGGTGACCATAGCATCCACCAGTCACCCCCTGGTACCCTTTAGATACCTTATAATCCCTTTTACTGTTTTAGAACAGTCAAGGTGTTGCCATAAGCACCACCTTTTTGCTCTTCACACTTCATCAAAATTTTTTGCAATTCTTTTTATAAAATACCATTTATAAACACCTATTCATCTTAATGAAAATACCATGAGGCAACAATAAGGTCTGTGGAATCTCGCTAATCAGAGAAGCTATGTCCAGGATGAAAAGTACTAGTAACACTCTCTACTCTGGTAAAATTTTAATAGAAATTATAAAATCATGAGTGAGAAATTACTAAATAAGATGTACAACCCACATAAATTTGTAGTTTCAAATAAATTTCAGACAATAATCAGTGTTTCTAAAAGAGTGTGCAAGAAAGTGTGTCGCTAGCCTTTTTCTCTTCCAAGATTTGTAGACCTCGCCAATAAACCAGCTTATTATTCAATTCACAAAAAGGAAATAGAGGCACTATCACATAAAAAAAAAGATGAAAAAAAAAAGGATCGCCATGATAGCAGAAAAGCCAATTCAAGGTGAGTATATATATATATATATATAAT